GTGTCAAATCAGTTGAGAAGAAATCTTGATGATAAGTTGAGTCAAATGATCATAATAAGATACCATTCGACTGGAGGATACAAGTTGTTCAACCCAATGAACAAGCAAGTTGTGATCATCAGGAACATGATCATAAATGAGCTTAAGGAATGGGATTGGACTAAGAATGTTAAGAAGGATTCAGTGACAATCTTATGTGAAGAACCAGCTAGTGAAGTCGAAAGAGAAGTTTGACAAGAAAAAGTCAGAGTTGAAGCAGACCCAAGCAAACCTCAACGAACAAGACACATTCCTACAAGGTTGCAAGAATGTGTGATTACATCATATGATATGGTCGATGATGAAGGTGTGCTGGTACACTATGCTTTATAAGCGGACGTCAAACCACTCAATATAGCTTAGGCGTTGAAAGATTCGAAGTGGGTGAAAGCAATGAATGAGGAACTAGAGTCCATCGAAGTCAACAAAACTTGTTCACTTGTTGAATTGCCTCAAGGCAAGAAGGAAATCGATGTGAATCAGGTATGCAAGGTGAAGTTGAATCCCAAAGAAGAAGTAACTCGACACAAGGCAGGACTTATAGCAAAAGGATTTCTTCAAAAGGAACGAATCGACTTCGAGGAAGTTTTTTACCTGTTTCTAGGATCGAATCAATCAGGTTGGTTTTATTCTAGCAAACATGAACAATTGGCACATATGTCGGATGGATGTGAAATGTGCATTCCTGAATGGCCCCTTAGATGAAGAAGTTTATATTGCACAACCAGTTGGATTTATGAAACAAGGCGAAGAAATAAAGGTGTGCAGGTTGTAAAAAGCCTTGTATAGACTTAAACAAGCTCCAAGAGGTTGGAATAAGAAGATAGATAGTTTTCTAAGAGAGAAAGAATTTGTAAATTGCACAACTGAGTATGGAGTATATGTAAGGAGAAGCAATAGTGAATTGCTTATACTATGTCTCTATGTCTATTACTTGTTGATAACAGGAAGTTACAAGAAGTAGATCGAAGACTTCAAACATGACCTAAGTGAGGAGTTTAAAATGTCAGACTTGGGAAATCTCTCATATTTCCTTAGTATCAAGTTCTGCAAGAGTGGTAGAGGTTTGATGGTGCACCAAAGAAGATATGCAGGCGAAATACTCAAGACATTTGAGATGCAAGATTGCAACTCAACTTCGACTATAGTTGAGCCCAGATTGCAATAGTCGAAAGAATAAGATGAAGATAATGTCAACCCAACTCAATATAGAATACTTATTGAGTCATTAAGATACCTTTGTCACACAAGGCTTGGTCTAGCATACAATGTAGGTATGGTGAGTAGATTCATGCAGAAGCTAAAGGTACCACACCTAGCGGCGAAGAAGAGGATATTAAGGTATATGAAAGGAACTCTTGACTATGGAATTTTGTTTCCTGTAGATGATGAAGGAAAAGAATGCAAGTTACTGGGATACACTGACTCAAGTTGGTATAGTGATGTTGAGGATAGAATGTCCACATCGAGCTATATGTTTATGCTAGGTGGTGCACCAGTTGCTTGAAGTTCGAGAAAGGAGCCAGTAGTGGCATTGTCGTCATGTGAAGCAGAGTACATAACTGCTTCTCTCTGTGCATGTCAAGCAAAGTGGATGGTGAATTTGGTTGAAGATATTACAGTGAAGAGTCATGGAATAATTACCATGAAGATCGACAACATGTCAGCTATCAATCTGGCGAAGAATCCAATAGCACATGGACGAAGAAAGCACATCGAAATGAGGTTCCATTATCTTCGAAAGCATGTAGCATAAGAGAATATGAACTTGGAACACTATAGAACTGAGAATCAAATTGCAGATATCATGATAAAAAGAGTGCAAGTCGAAGTGTTTAAGAAACTAAGGTATATGATGAATATAGATAGCTTAGACACAATGAATTAGGTGGTGTGTTGAGTATGTAATTCCTTGTGTCGAAGCAGATGTAGCTCGATAGAAACAAGGATGTGTCGAAATTAGCCTAGTGTAGTATGTGTCGAGTAGGGTTAGATATCAAAGTGTCGAAGCAGGTTGCTTGACACATAATTTCGACTTAGACCAAAATAGAAATTTTGGGCTTTTATGGTTTTGGGATTTACCTTAAGGAGAAAGGTAACTCAATTATAAATAGAGGGAGTAACCCTTATTTTGAAAAAAAGAAGAATGGAGAATAATATTGTAACACACAACAGAAAGTGTAGTTGCACAATTGAATAATATTTTTTCTCAGTTTGAGAGTAGAGAGTTACTCTGCATAAATCATTCTCCTATTTCCTTATTTTGTTAAACCCTAATCTTCTTCCTTATTCATTTTTCTTTCTTTCTTCTTCTATTAATAATTTTTGTGCATAATCATTCTTGCAATCAAGGTCTGATTGTTTCACTTGAGTGAAGAGTGAAAAATAATGAATTTTAACCAGGTCAATTGAATCTTGTTCAGCAATATTGATTCGAAATTCTCAAAGTTTTAGGTTAATTCTAACAGTTACAATACTTCCTTGATCTTAGTGAATGCAATATCATACTTTGATGTCCACTCGAACATTGCTCCTATTCTCATAATCTTGTAAAATGGTATTGTGTGATGTGCTAATATGGAGATGAATCGAGACAAAGCTATCAAAACACCATTTAGTATCTAGATTCCCTTCTTGGTCTTGGGTCCCACCATATTAACCAATGCTTTGAATTTTCTAAATTTACTTCTATGAGGTAATACTCAAAGAACTTATCGAATCTCACCCCAGAGATGCATTTCTCGAGGTTCGTCTTCATCCCATGCTATCTGACTTCCTCAAATATGGTCTCTAGATGGGTTGAAATCAAATGAGATGACATCAAGTTTGTCAATATATGGAAGTGGATATGCATCCTTTGCACACTCTATTTAAGTTTGAATATCAACGTGAATGTGTCACTTCTTATTGGATTTTCACAGCAAGTCTACGTTAGACAACCATATAGTGTATTTTCCCCGATTATGAATCTGGCTCTAAGGAACTCATCAACTGACTTTTTTAGATGCTTTGGCCTTTTGCACTGATTGTTTCCTTATATGTTGAACTACATACCGGACATCGTTACAAAGGGCTAATGTATGACAACCTACTTTAGGGCTAAGGATTGAAATCTACATTGCTTACCATGCGAATAAGTCGTGGTTTCGTTGTAGACATTCTTTTAACTACTCATGCACGGGCTCGAGCAACTATCACTACTACAATAAATAGATACAACGATATATATATATATATATATATATATATATATATATATATATATATATATATATATATATATATATATATATATATATATATATATATATATATATATATATATATATATATATATATATATATATATATATATATATATATATATATATATATATATATATATATATATATATATATATATATATATATATATATATATATATATATATATATATATATATATATAAAACCGTGGTGATATCATTTAATCACTTTATACATAGTTGGCTAACTTGTCTTTTCAGTTGTATATTTTCATTTCCATCAAGAAACATCCCCTGACAAAACAACGTGATTTTCAACCCTAACGAAACATACATCACCATTTCAACCCCAACGATATAAAATCAGTTTCAACCCTAATGAAACGTTCAACACCATCTTCAAACATGAAGAAACAACAGTATTTTCAACTAATATCTCTGCTTTCATACCGTATATAAGGGAACTGACAATGTGTTCTTCGTTCTTGAGTAGCCTTTGGTTTAGCTGTCGAGGAGGAACTTTAAGATTCGGAAAACATTTTTTTACTTATTCATCATGTTTTTAGTACGTAACTTTTTCATCCCATGCATCTACAGTACCAACATTTTCCAATGTTATTTATGTGTTTATTGTTGTTGATGCGTATGTATTTATTTTTGTTGATGCTTATCTATTTGTTATTGATGATTCTTATTGTTGTTGTTGTTGATGTTTCTTGTTGTTGTTTATGCTTATTGTTGAAGATGATACATGTTGTTGTTGTTGATACTTATGTATTTGTTGTTGTTGATGCTTATTTGTTGTTGTTGATGTTTATTGTTGAAAAGGATGCTTATTTGTTGTTGTTGATACTTATTTTTGTTGTTGTTGTTGATGTTTATTATTGAAAATGATGCTTGTTATTGTTGATGATGCTTATGTATTTGTTGTTGGTGATGTTTATTGTTGGTGCTGATGCTTGTTGTTGTTGTTGATGCTTATTATTGAAGATGGTGCTTGTTGTTGTTAATGCTTATGTATTTGTTGTTGTTGCTGCTTATTTGTTGTTTTATTATATAGATGGCCTCTTCTCTATTGTTGATTCTTATTGATGCTTATTTGTTGTTGTTGATAGATGGTCTCTTTTTTGTTGTTAATTTTTATTGTTGTTGATGCTTATTTATAGTCTAAATATATTGATTATTCAACGTAAAACATTTTGTTTATATATAGTCCAAATATATTAATTATTCACGTATCTAAAAAATAAGTTATTTTTTATAAATTGAATCAAAAGCAATATATGTGAAATGGTTAAGTGAGTAGTGGGACACAGGAATAATATATTTGTGAGATCTCCTTGCAATGAAAAATGAGGGTGGGGGAAGGATCTGTGAGCATTTAGTATGCTTAGCTTTTAAATTTTGAAATTTGAAAAAAAAATCTGACAAAGTAGTGTGAAGTGGGGTGGTGGAGTGCATTGAATAATCTCTAAGGACATACAGCATTTAATGCCATAGACTGAGTTCGTGGTGTGGTGGAAAGCCGAGACTGATTAACTCCACTTTTGCTGTGATGCTGTCTATAATTTTGTGTGTTTAATTGTTGCGTCATAAATTCAACACGATTGCAATAAATTAGTAACACCAGTTTTGAGTCTTCTATATCAATACCCTTTGTTTTGCTTGTGAAGTTCCAAATATCCTTACCACAATTTATAGACAAAACATAAGGAAATGAAACTCAGCAACATTTCATTTTTGTCCAATCTTCTGATACTTCAATATTTGTCACTTCAATGCCTTTCTGCTCAAGATTTTGCTTTCTTCTATTTTATCCAGCAAGTAAATCATTTAACCATGAATGTTTCATTTTCCTATATATTATTTTTATTTTGATTCTTGAATTTTTGTTAATGATGATGCAGTGGCCAGGCTCATACTGTGACACAAAGCAAAGCTGCTGTTATCCGAAAACCGGAAAACCTATACCAGATTTCACCATTTATGGACTTCGACCTAACTACAATGATGCGTCATTTCCCTCAAACTGTGATCCTCATAGTGTTCTTGATAAATCTAAGGTATGAAACTATATATATGTATTTAACTGATGTATATGATTTTATTAGTGCATTTCTCTATTGAAAAACTCATTTATAATAAAGTTATATTTAATTTATATAGATCTCAGACCTCATTAAAAACTTGGAAAAGAATTGGCCATCTCTGAGCTGTCCGAGTGGCACTGGTATTAGATTATGGTCACATGAATGGAAGCAACATGGCACTTGTTCAGAATCTAAGCTTATTCAACATGACTACTTTGAAACAGCTCTCAAACTCAAGAAAAAACTTAACCTACTTCAGATCCTCAAGAATGCAGGTAACAAAACATGATTTCAAAGCATTTTATGAGTATATATTTGAAAATTTTCTAATTATTTAATGGCAATGAATTTCAGGGATTGAACCAGATGATAAATTTTACGACCAATACAGCTTTTTAGATGCTGTACAACAGTCTACAGGATTTCTACCAGGAATAGAATGTAATAGAGATTCATCACATAACAGTCAGCTTTTGAAGGTTTACATGTGTGTGGATACTTCTGGCTCAAAGTTCATTGAGTGCCCTGGTGTTCCAATGGGTAGTTGTGGTGCTAAAGTACAATTTCCTAAGTTTTAAGATAATCTGTCTTGTTAGGCGAAACATGGTTTAAATAATTTAGATTTTCTAGTCATCATATTGTACTTCTAATTCTAAACTATCGTATCATTTCTATTGTCATCTTATTTTTGAAATGTTGATGGTGTTATTACACCTTACGAATGTGTAATTTTAATTGAGAGAAAGATAGAGAGAGTGTTGGAGAGGAAGGGGAGAAGAGAGAATGATGAATATTAAATGAGAGAAAGTGTTTGTTATGAGAGAATGATTACAAAACTACAAAAGTGGTTATTATATATACATACAATTAACTAACTAATTAAGTTTGAATTAATACATAACATGCTTCTTCAATTCAAACTTTTACCAAGTGATACACATCAAAAATTGATACTTCAGACTTTGTGCTTTCAAACTCCAGTCACTCTTCAGAAGCTGCTTCAGACTCCAGAGGTTTAGAAGTAATTTTCACCTCTGACTCCTTTAGAGACTAGTGGTTCAAAAACTATCAAAGTTTCAGAGACAAGACTACTTCATCCTCTGATTTCTATAGAGGTTGTCGCTTCAGAGACTACTCTGTTCTAGCAACAACAAAATTTCCCCTCAAAAGGATTGTAAAAGTAATATCCTTTTGGTTGTTTAGGATACACCACAAACAAGAATTTATCATATTTAAGCTAAAGGTTTGCTGAAAATTTTCATTTCACATTAACTTCGCAACCCTGAATCTTCATGTAAGACATATTTGGCCTCTTATCACTCCACATCTCATATGGTGTCTTCTCAATTGTTTTGGATGGAACATGGTTAAGTGTATAAGTTGATGTCAATAAAGCATGTACCCAAAAGATTTTTGAAAGATTAGAGTGACTCATCATGGATAAGACTGCGTCTAACAAGGTCTGGTAATTTCTTCTCTCTAATACACCGTTCCATTGTGCACTACTACAAAATATACATTTTGTAACAATTTCTTTCTACGATCATTTATCCAACCGAAGTAATATTCATTCATTAGGAGACATTTTTTTAAATAACTTTTCCCTATGGCCCAAATAAACAAACGTGGTGATATCTAAAGGGCTAACATGCTTCGAATCCCAACACCAATAATTTTATGTTTTTTCGTTATAAAAATGGCGTGTTCCCTTAACTTCTATTTTTTAATAAAAATAAAACTACTTTTCACCATGGCACAAATTAAAAACCATGTTTAAACATCAGGGACATTTCACCACAGTTCCTTTTATCAACCGTGGTGAAATGTTTTACCTATATAAGCTAATTTAATTCACTTCAGAATAGACTGTGCTCTAAAGTGAAACCCTAATTTCTTACGCTTTATCTCAATCTCACAAAACTCCAACATAACTTTTCGAACTAGTATGGATCAAGAAAATGTGTCACGAATCTTTTCAAGACGAAACAAGAAACATTTATTTGTCTTCCTCTTCACATTTCTGCCACACACGTTAAACATTTTTCACCCTTAATTTTATGAGTTATGTTGTTATTAAAAATATTTTCCCTTTAGGGTTTGTAGTTTTTATTGTTGTTAATATGAGATTAGAAGTTTTATAGTGTTGTTTTTGTTGATATAAGTAAAAGGTTTATGATATTGTTGTGGTTTTTTTAGTTATGTTGTTGTTTTTACTGAGTTATGTTGTCGTTTTTGTTGATATATGTCGCTACTGCGAAAATCGGCGCCGGCTGAACAGAAGAGTCGCCACCGTGCGTTATTTATCCCAAAGGAGAGAAAGGAAACGCTCAGAGTAAACCTACCGCAAAGACGGGAAAGGAATGGTCATCGCAACCAAATCCTGGATTCGGGAGTCGGTTACGCAAGGAGAAGGTATTAGCACCCCTCACGTCCGTCGTACTCGACGGGATCCACGCTTGTTTTCTGGTACGGATTGTTATTCTATCTATTCTACAGGTCTGGGGTTAAAAAGAAAATAAAATGACTCGGCAAAGTATCGCACTTTATGCCTACGTATTCCTGTCTGGAACGAGAAATCAGAGTCAACGTAGTTCGCCTACCTACGGGAAAGGAGGGGAAGGTTGCTCGCTAGGATATCGCATCCTATGCCTACGTACTTTCATACAGCATGAAAGATCAGAGCAAACGTAGTTCGGGCTACGGAAGACACAGATTTGTATGACTGTTTTTTATCCTTCTGAAAAAGGTTTTCTCCTGATTACGGGTCCAAGCGGACAAAAATGACACCTTTGATTGGTTTCCAGTCTTTTACGCAAGAACTGTCTTTTATTGATGTTTGAAATTTTATTATTGTATTTTTGATTGTTTTGAGATAGAAGAGAAAGAACTCTAAAATCCTAGGGTTAAAATGGGAAGCAAAACTATCATATTGTTATCATGCATGGATTAACACCTAATGTCTGTCATATTTCTCTCTTGCGCAGAGAGAAACAGAGATCCTAGGGGATAAACGGAAAAGAAACAACATATATACAGTAAAGCAGTAAAATGCATGAATGCAACAGTACAAGCGAGGCAAGGGAGTCTCACTCAACCTCGAACCTAGAAAACAATAGGCAAAGTGAAGCGGCTTCACTTCAAACCTAAGGGGAAAAAATAACAAACAATACAACAAGGAAAATAAACCCCAAAACCAGTTTTGACAGCACACCAGCTCCTACAGCAGCAGCTCTAAAAAAAACATCCATCTCTGACGGTTGATTAACAGCAATCTTCCAATGAACCCCAAAGTCAAACTCCAATGATACCCAAGCTACAAAAAGCTTCCATCTCCAAGAAATCACCAAGCTCAAGCAAGCACATGATCTTAACCAGTTGTTAGCATCAGACATCAAATAGCTCCAGACAGCAGTAAACCCTAGCTTTAACAGCTGCACAGCTCTGACATGAATAATCTTCATCTTTGGTCAATCTTTGATCTTCATCTCTATCTTCAATGGCTTCTTTCTTCAAGGCAAGCTCTCCTAGATGAGAATCACTTAACAGAATAAGTTGAATGCTAAACAGCTTATTGACAATCAAAGGAAGCCTATAAGTGCTTAACATTATGAGAGACAGGTTCCCTCAAAGTTCTACCTCTAAGGTAAGGCCACTTATCCCTCCAAAGGAGGGAGGTGAATGCCATAGAGGGACTTTATGTCATAGAGATGAATGGAAGCACATGAAGCTATCCATGTTTGCACAAAAAATTCAGTCTATTCTAAGGCTCTGCTTATTCCTATTATTTCCTATGTCTTCAATCAACTCCAAGCACAAACAATCTTCAAGCTTCAACATTTGATTATCATCTTCAATCTTCTCTTTTGATGTCCTCATGCCCCATAAGCTCAAGTCAAGCCCCATACCCCATAGAAAAAGCCCAAAAGCCCAAGCACACAATGTAAACCCCAAGTGGGAACACCAAACAAACACTCCATTTGTAAAATATACTAAAAATAGTAATATAGTATTTAAAATTCTAAGATTAATTCTAAGGGGATTTCTACATCTACCCTACATACCCTATATGTCCCAGAACCTAATTCATGCTAAAACCCCAAAATAAAATGTTATAATGCACCTATGTTGAGTTTGAACCCTACTCTAACTAACCTAATGTTCCTTATTCCAAACTAATCAAGATTAAATCACAAAAATGTGAGATAAATCTATAAGGGAACCTATACTTCTAATCTAATCAACCCAACAAGAATCAACTCAAAACTATTCACCAATTGGTCACAAGAAAATTTACAAAAACATGTATCAAATGTACAAAATTAAAGAAAGCAATAAAATGGAAAAAATCAAATTAAATTGAAAAATGGGTGAATATGAAATTTATATTTTTCATGAAATCACAAATAAATCCAAGATCATGGAGGTATTTTTGAAATATTTTTCTGATTGATTTTGGATTTATTATGATTTATTTTGTAAACTATATGCAAATATGAAATAATATGAAAATTCAATTAAGACAGGGGTGGCAAAAGCAAATATTTCCACTGCAGGAATATACTGGGCCCAGGAGGGGGGTACTGCTAGCAAACACGTTAAGCCCAATCTGCTTAAGAAAAACAATAGACCGGGGGGGTGCAGATAACGAGAAATTCACTTTGCATTCACGTTTGGGCCCCAAACGGGGGGTGTAACCAGCAAACGACCTAGGGCCCAAACCAAATTCACACCAGGGGAGGGGGTGTTAAGGGAAAACAAGGGAGTGTGATCAGCATTCTTGTGACTGGGCCTAATGCCCGAGTCCAATTCCCATTCAGCCTTAGTAACAACTAACCTAATACTCCTCACTATCATCCTCCAACACTGTTCATCCCTAACCTCAAACCCTAAACGGCGCAACCATCCTCCCAAACCTCCCAGTTCTCTCCATCACTAACTATCCTTCTAACTTCATTTCAATCGTTGCCTAGTTCTACGAACTACTATAATCAGAAGAGATTGAAGCAAAACTTGGAACCACTGATGAGCGATGGTGGAGCTTTCCTGGAGATGATGAAGATTGAGAAGTCCTGATGGCGATCTTGAAGTTCTGGCGATCTTGGAGCGTTGAAAACGGAGGAGATCAAGGAATCTGGAGACGGATGAACCGATGAAGAACCTTGAAGAAACTTCTGGAAATCCTTGCTGAAGTTTAAAGGATCTGGAGATCACGAAGACGACTTGAAGCTCCTATGATCTTCTGGGAAATCAATTGAAGGTTGAATGTTCTTCACGAGATTCTTGATGAATTTCTTGAAGATTCACGGAGAAATCGATTAAGGCGCGATGAATATCACTGTGGATCTCTGGAGATGATGTTGACAGTTCTTGAATGTTCTTGTGAAGAACATGAAGATGACGAACACCATGATGAAGTTGGTTGAAGATCCGTTCGTGGATGCATGTGGATCTGGAGAAAAGATGAACATAAGTGCAGAACGATGAAGATCGTTTGATTCGTTTGATTTTTCTGGAAAAAACGTCTTGAACGGGATGAAGGCGCTTGAAGAAGATGGTGGTGATCTGGGAATTCCTGGAG